AAAGGCCAGGAGAACCTGTGGGAAACTTTATTTCAAGTCTACATACTCTTGCAGAGCACTGTAGCTATGGAGCTCTTAAAGATGAGTTAATTCGTGACAGGATAGTTATCGGAATAGCTGATAAAAAGGTGAGCGAAAGAATGCAACTAAATGATGGTTTGACACTAGAGAAGGCAATACAAATAGCACGCCAAGCTGAACTTCAAGATAGTCAAAATAGAATTATGAGACAGGAGCAGTCAGTTAGTGCAGTTAAACAGGACTACAGGGAGCGTAGTGATAAAAGACATCAAGGTTACAGATGTGGATACTGTGGCATACCTACATGTAAAAATAGGGAGAAATGTCCAGCCAAGTTCTCTGAATGCAGATCTTGTTCACGTAGAGGTCATTGGAGTGTGATGTGCAGGAAGAAAGCTGTCAGAGCTGTTAAGTGTTCAAGGTCCACCAGTAGCAGTAGTACAGATGACGAAGGAAGGGATTCAGTAAATCAAGTGGTACATACAGATTCCTTTATTGGCCAAGTGTACCTAGACAAGAAGGATCGTTGGTATGTAGACATCTTATTGGATGACAAATTTAAGGTACCTTTTTTTGTGGATACAGGAGCAGATGTTAACTGCTTTCCCTATGAAAAATTACCTCCAGAATATGTGGGTCAAATTGTGGCATGTGATGCAATTGGTGCAGCGGACGATCATAAATTGGACACAGTGGGTAAGCTACATATAAAATTTACTTATGACGGTTTTACAAATGATGAAACAATATATTGTATTAGGAAGTTGAGACAACCTATATTAAGCAGAGAATCAATCATTAAGTTTAATGTTCTAAATTTTTCTAATTGTAAGCTTAAACAGGTAAATCAAATCAGTTGCAGTGTTGTTCATTGTAATCAATCTGAGAGTACTAATATGTTTTCAAAATTTAATTTAGAGTCTGTTGCTAAAACATTTCCTGGTATTTTTAGTGATATAGGTGAATTTAAAATGGAAATGTCAATTAGAATTAAGCCAGATGCTAAACCTTATGTACAGAGCGTTCCCAGAACTGTTCCTTTACCTCTGTTACCAAAATTAAGAATTGAAATTGATAGATTGCTAAAATTAGGGATAATTGAACCCATTGAAGATCCTACTTCTTGGGTCAGCCCAATTGTTTGTGTGGACAAGGGAGATTGTGTACGGCTTTGTGGTGACTATACTAAACTTAATGAAAACGTGTTACGGTCACATTTTCCTCTCGGGAAAATATCTCATACACTAGCACAGTTGAAAGGGTCTAAATTCTTCTCAAAATTGGATACCACAAGTGGGTTTTACCAAATAAAATTGAATAAGGAAAGTCAGTTGTTAACAACTTTTATAACACCTTTTGGCAGATTTTTCTTTAAAAGGCTTCCATTTGGTATATCTTGTGCCCCAGAGTATTTTACTATGAGATTTTCAAAAATCTTAACTGGCATTGAAGGCTGTGTTGTCCATATAGATGACATTCTTATTCATGCAAGGACAATAGAGGAACATGACAATATTTTGAACACAGTCCTAACAAAACTTCATAAGGAAGGTATTACACTAAATAAAAACAAATGCTCTATAGCAACAAAAACAGCTAAATACTTGGGTCATATGGTCTCTGAGCAAGGGATATTAATTGATCCAGATAGGGTTAAAGCTATCCGTGATTTTCCTGAACCAAAAAATAAGACTGAGCTGTCAAGATGGCTGGGTATGATTAATTTTGCTGCAAAATACATTCATAATAAATCTGAGATTCTTGAACCATTAACACACTTACTAAAAAAAAATATTAACTTTTTGTGGGGTCCAGCACAAGATAAAGCTTTCAGCACTTTAAAACAAAAGTTAGAGAGCCCTCCAAATCTAGCGTTTTTTGATGCTAATAAAACCATAATTGTTAGTGCAGACTCAAGTTGTTTTGGTATAGGTGCATGTCTATTTCAAGAAAATGTAGATCATACTCGGGAAATAGTGGCTTTTACATCTAGGCTTCTGAACTCAGCTGAAACACGATACGCTCAGATTGAGAAAGAAGCTCTTGCACTTACATGGGCAGCAGAATATTTTTATGATTTTATTTCAGGAGTTCCTAACCTAATTTTTGAAACAGACCATAAACCTTTACTACAAATTCTGCAAACTAAAAATTTAGATGAGTTAACGCCACGTTTGCAAAGATTTCGAATGCGTTTAATGCGATACAAGTATACTGTAATCTACACGCCGGGAAAAAATTTAATTGTAGCAGATACTTTAAGTCGGGCCCCTTTACAAACAGATACGTTAGCTAATAAAGAACTAACTGCTGAAACTGCAGCATATGTGCAGTCAATTATTCATAATTTACCAATTAAAGATTATTTTTTGAATTTAATAAAAACAGAACAAGAAAATGAATATATTTGTAAAAAACTAAAAGAATATTCTTTGTCTTCTTGGCCTGAAAGATCTAAATTGCCATTTGAATTGTTGCCATACTATCAATATAGATATGAAATTTCCTATTCGGAACAATTACTTTTAAAAGGGTCTCGCATAATCATTCCTAAGAGTCTTCAACTCAAGGTGTTGGAATTTATTCATACAGGCCATATGGGAATTGTAAAATGTCGAGATCGTGCCAAACAGAGCGTTTGGTGGCTGGGTTTGTCATCCCAGATTAATAACCTTGTCACACATTGTCCCCAATGTGTTGAACACAGAGTAAATCATAGAGAAACATTTCATAAAGACAATACTGTACAAAGGCCGTGGCAAAAACTGGGGGTTGATTTGTTTAAATGTTATGATAAGTGGTATTTGATTGCCACTGACTACTTTTCACATTGGTTTGAAATTTTTACTTTAACCAATATGACAGAAGATGCCATTATTCCTAAGCTTAAAGATATTTTCTCTCGTTATGGTATCCCAGAGGAAGTTAGATCCGACTGTGGTACTCAATTTTCATCAAAATTTATAAAGTTTTCAAAAGAATATAATTTTGTTCATACGACGAGCAGTCCGCACTGGCCTCAGAGCAACGGTGGAGTGGAACGCACTGTACAAATTGCAAAAAGATTAATTCAGAAAAATAAAAAAGAGGACCTAAGTTTGGCATTGTTAGCATATAGATGTACACCCCTAGAATGTGGTGTTTCACCTTCTGAATTATTAATGAATAGAAAATTAAGATCTAACTTACCCCAGCTTCCAAGCTTATTAAACTTTTCAAAAGAACCAAACACTAAAAATAAAAAGAATGAAATAAAGGATAAACAAGTGAAAAACTACAATAAGCGACACAATGCCAAGGATTTAGATCCTCTTAAGGTTGGTGATTCTGTGTGGGTGGTTGATATCAGGAAATATGGGCGAGTTGTTGCGATCTGTCAGGAACCCAGGTCCTATATAATTGAAACTGAAACCGGGAAATTTAGAAGAAATAGATGGCATTTGATTCATGCACCCTACTGTTTCCCTGTATTGAGCACCCAACCAGAATCCTCAAATGATTATGTTCCGCCAATTTCTAGTAACACAAAGCTAATGCCTTGCTCTAATCAAAGCAATGGTGACATACAGGGTAAAATAATGGAGGAAAGTAGTAGGGGGGAACCCAGTGTATTTCAGGACAAAATCGAACAAAGTGGAAATCATGTTTTACCTCCATCGGGTCAGGATAAAAGCGATAGTGTATCGGACTTTGAGTGCGTAAAGCCTAGCAGGCCAAAAAGACTTGTGAAGAAACCGGTTCATTTAACAGATTATGTTTGTAGTAGTTTAAGTTAGTTTAGGTATAAGATCATTAATGACACAGGGATCTTTTATAAAAAAAAAGGAGATGTGTTGTTAGCTTAGATTAAGATATAGGCGCCGGAGTTAGGCAACACAGATGACAGGGATGTCATGTGAACGTAGCCGAAGCTCGGGCAAGCATGTATGTTTGAGGGTTGAGAATAAACTGATGTTGTGAAGTAACGATTATTATTTGTAACCCCTCTTTGATAACACGACAGATATTGGAAAGATAAATGTGTTTGATTGTCGAGAGGATGAATCTGCTGTACGTGGTTGAGGAAGTTTTTGTATAATATCGCTTATGTTAGTTGTATATTCCTTTTCATCTTCAACCGTAAATGTATAGCCATGTGCAAAGGAGTGAGCTTTCTTTAAAAATTTTATTTGGAACTCTGTTTCGTCCACCTTTCCTGATATTGCGGCTACAAAATATCCTGAATGCTTGTTCCCTTTTAAGTGCACCAAAATGAAATCACCTTTCTGAAGATTATCTGGAGTAAATTGATTGGAATCAATTTCTAAATCTGACAAAGAATTATCATTACAATTACAGCTGTCACTTCTAATCTCAAAATCAATTTGATCTTCCTCTGAAGACGTTTCTTCAATATTTAACTTACGTTTTACTTTTTTTTGTTTTTTGCAGTTCCTTTTTGCGCTTCTTTTCCGTTCTGTTTTTTTACTTTTTTTTATTTCATTAAATTCTTCTTTCTTCTTAAATTCATTAAAAACTGGCTTGACTTTATAATTCGGACTGTATATAAAATTGTTTTGACCTGATGTTTTAAAATTTTTAATGTGTCCTGCTAATGCAGACTTTGCAATTTCAAATTGGCTCGCTGCGGCACGAATTGAAAGACTTGAATTTAAAACTTAACGAACAGCAAAGAGTTGAAAATAGTTTGTATGAAGTTTTTCTTTCTCACCAATACGATATCATCAAAACTACGAGTAACCATATAATTATAGCAATTCTGAAATACATGTGAGAGAAATAAGTATAAAATTTATTATACGTGTATAAAAGACCATTTACAAAAATTTATCTACATGTATAAAATCTCTAGAATCCCGTTTAAGTTATTAAAGTCATTCCTAAAATTTATTTTAAAACGATAATTATTGTTGACGTTCCAATAAAATATATATTCATGTGCCTTTGGATTAAAAGTTATTTCTTTTGATTTTTTATAGGAAATGGGCATCTAAGACATCCTCACAGTCGATTTATAGACTGGAAAGCAGCTAGTTGGGTACGTTCTTTGGGAATGGACTCTCACTTCACCTTAAATAACGGATATCTCACTATTAAAGACTCTGGACTGTATTTGGTCTATTCCCAAGTAAGTTGATTCACTTTAATTATATACGGAGGTCGGCATAAGTCAGGCAATGCTCTCGAAAAATCGGCTAAGTTCGGCAATGCTCATAAATCTGGCAATGCTGTTGAAAAAAATTAAAACAAAGCATGTTCGTGCTTCAGACAGTTCTGTATAATGACAGGTCCGTGTCTTCTCCACGCAATTCACGAGGATGATTTCGATCGCAGATTAGAATTTTCTGAGTGTTCCAGCGCAATTCCAGCGTTCCATTTTGTGGTTGGATGAAGTAACCTTCAAGCTGAACGGTAAGGTCAATTGGCATAACTGTGTGTACAGGACCAGACCAGAATCTTTACGTCTTCATTTAAGAAGAATTAAACCTGCCTGAGGTGTATGTGAGAGCAGGTAGGTATTCATGCAAGAGGTCTCTTGGGTCCGTACTTTTTTTAGTGTAACGTGATGCAATACGTGGGCAAATGGACAACAATCCGCGAACATCCATCATGTTTTGTAGGATGGAGCTTCGCCGCACTACACGGCATGTGTGTGGGAGTATTTTAATATTAATTTTGGAGAATCTATAGGTAAGATAAGCTGGGTCGACAGAGTTAGAAAATGAAGAGGTCCTTAGACGGCTGAACCAAACAACACAACTGGTCAATATAATAAAGAAACGCAAGCTGGAATACTTCGGTCACATTATGAGACACCCTGAAAAATATGATCTTTTAGATCTAGTCATTCCGGGAAAGATTCAAGGTAATCGTGGTCCTGATAGAAGAAGAACATTATGGCTGAAAAATCTAAGGCAATGGTATAGAAAATCAACTACATCGTTATTTAGAGTTGCTGTCAATAAAGTCACGATAGCGAATATGGTAGCCAACATGATATCCAACGATCGATAACGGTCATGGAACCAGAAGAAGAAGATAGGTAAACGAGGACTATGAGGCCTTCTCAAGGACCGTATTTTTGCAAGAGGACCACGCACCCTTTCCGACCTTCGAACTGTAACTGAAGAAAAATTTGAAAATCTTCGTGGGCAGCTTACCGTGCTTAGCCGGACCTGCCTCTTTATTGCAGGAAATGCATTGATCAAGATGAACATCAATTTGAATACTTACAGTAACCCTTCTTCGAATCCCTTTTGTAATTTCGTTAACCCGGCGTCACCCAGGTGGGCTCTAATGGTACCCCTTAACACACTTAGAACTAGCATAGTTCTATGGTTAATACACGGATGTTTTATTGGTTGTTGCTTATAACTTCCTAAAATATGTTGCCGTTGGGTAGTCTGAACCAATTTCAGTTGTAAGTTGATCGTCAAAGTAAGTAGTGTTCTGCAATCCGATTAGACCCCACCTGAGTGACGAAGACACAATTTCAGTTCGCAAGGTAACTAAGACAATTTTAATTGGTGGCGTTATTTGTTGTACATATAACCTGTTTTCTCTAGAATGAATTACGAAAAATAACAAGCCAAACTATTGCTACTTTGGCAGGAACTCGAAGATGATGAATAAAGGATAACTATGGTATCCTTTGTACCAAAAAAAGGAAAAACGTGATTGTATTATAATCACTTCATCACGATGATGAAATAGATAAATCTACCAGCGAGAAACTTTTACCAGAAATATTAAGTTTCTATAACTTTACAAAATGAAGGGTTACGGTGGATGAGTTGACAGGAAGTTACAGTTTAGCTCGTAATTGTAGAAGGTGGCCACTAAGAATATTTTTTCAAATCATGAATGTGTTGCTTATGTGAGTCCATTTCAAATAGGTAAAGAAATAATAAATAAGACTTACTCACAATCAATTTAATTTAACTATCCAGACGACCAGTTTCGCTTTCTACAATATGCAAAGCATCTTCAGGTCTCGATACAAAGTTAAATAAATGATGCCGATACTCTATTAATTGATGGATGGTAGAACATGGTTGAAACTATCATGTATTGTTAAATGAAGAACTTAAGTCTGCTATTGTAGTAGCAGAATATTTTTTCACTAATGGACACAGTTGGAATCAACAGCCAGGTAATTTACAGAACAAACACTAGTGACTATTCAAAGAAACGTCGTATATTATCGTCGGAAGATCTGGCATTAGCATTAGTTACGCCAATTATGGAAGAACGAAAAAGTAATCCGCGACTTACAAAACATTTACGATGCAAAATAGTTCAAGTTATTAGAGAAAGTGGGAGAGGAAGAAAGCAACGTACGGGACGTGGACGATGTCAAAAGTGTTACAGAAAATCTGAACGGAAAACAAAACAAACGTGCGATCAATGCCAAAATTTTTATTGTTTAGATCATCTTCATCGCATTTGCGACGAATGTATTCAGTTCCGGAACTCCTAATTTGAACCTTTTGAAAAAACTTGTTTGGAAAATCTCTTATTTTCAATTATTATCTTTTGTTTGTGAATTTGTTATGTATCTAGCGTTTTTTTTGTAGGAATTTTATTATTTTGTAAATTTTATCTAATACGCGGTCAAATTTAATCCAGTGGTAAAAACTGCTGTCATGAAAACTTAGATAGACAAATAAGATATTTAAAAAAATAAATTCGTGTTCGAACTGTTTGTTGAGTTTTTCCAATCAATTTTAAATGGGGTCAATAATACCCCACTTGGGTTATTATACACACATTTTTCACCTGGGTGACGCCGGTTAAACAAATTCATTTTGACGCTGAATTGTTTCTCTTAATGCAAATTTATTACCTGACTTATGCCGACCCCTGTATAAAATATTCTCAAACACAAGTATAAAACGATGAGTACAAACTCTTTTAGAAAGTTTTCTGTTACTTAGGTTATAATGTAGTATATGCCTCGGAACATGTTTTGCAACTTTCTGTTTCAATTACGTCATGGGACAATCTTTCCTTCTCAAATCCTTCCTTGCGATAAATTTCACATACACCCCCTAGAGGCAAAACCATTCAACTTACTAGAACTTGATTTCCACAAAATTTTCATGCGGGAATACTTGATCAGTATAAGACGAAAAGGAAATTAAGACCATGTAACTCTAAAATGGTTAAAAGGAACAGGTATATCTCAAAAATATCCAGTCCGATTTATATTTAATATTTAACAATTTTTACTTGGAAAATTGATTCTCTTAAAACTATAAAATACTGACTTTACGTACGGGTCTTTTTGTACTATGCAATAAGTATGAAAGCCGTTACCGGTCTGGTTTCATCTTCCTTTGTTAACGCTTTTGATGATTTTATCCATGATCAAGTTGAAGAACATGGGGTTCAATGAATCCCCTTGTCTTACTCTGCTGCCTATTTCTATAGATTCTGTAAGTTGTTCATCCCTTCCGACTTACATTTTGTTGTTTTGGTAGATGTTTTCGATGGTTTTTGTAATATTTAGGAGAACTTCTCTATTATACAGAAGATGGATTATATATTTGAGTCTTACTTTGTCGAACGCTTTCTTTAGGTCAATCAGACACAGAAATGCTGGTCTAATTATACTCTAGTGATTTGTCAGCAGGTAGTAGTAGTAGTTTCTAATTTGATTTAAAACAAATATTGCGTCTGTACAGTCTTCCACTACGAAAACTGATTTAATTTATAAGCACATGTAAAATTTTAGTTGTATTTCGTATTTTTCGTGTTCCGGCATTTTATTGTGTTTTATAATTTTATTAATTAATGTTGTTAATTGCTCTGTCACTGCTACTCCACAATATTTCAGTAATTCGTTTGGTATCTCGTTAACATCAAAACTGAGTAAATATGTGACCAATTTCGTACCAGTCTCGAAAAGAATAACTCCAAATAAATACTCAACCAATTAAAACTAACATACTTCAAATCTATGCCCCGACTGCAGATAGAAAATATGACGATGAAGTCGAGAAATTGTATGATCAGATCCAAGACATTTTACAGAAACTTAATAAACACGAAATTTTATATATTATAGGCGACTTCAATGCAACAATTGGGGACGGTCCAGGTCAGACTGTTGGTCCATATGGTTTAGGACAAGCTAATGATAGAGGACAGAGATTGTATGAATTTTGTAAAGAAAAGGATATGATCATTGCAAACACCTGGTATAAACTACCCAAGCGACGACTATACACTTGGAAAGCCCCATTTGATGATGGCAATAACCCTGAGTCTTCAAGAAATCAAATAGACTATATACTTGTAAATGAGCGTTTCCGAAATGCCGTCAATAAAGTCACTACATTTCCTGGGGCAGATATTGGATCTGATCATCAACTCCCATGTGGTATCCGTATCGTTTTCTTACTTTGTGAATTATTTGATTCATCACCATATTGAATAAAAATGGGCTGAGCGAGTCTCCTTGGCGTATTCCTTCTTTAAGTTCTATGTATTCTGTTTCTCCTGTTGGCATTATAACTGTGGTCTTGTTGTTCTTGTTAATTTCATTAATTGTCCTTATTATCTGATGTAATAAATTTAAGATGTCATTTCGCTTCACCCTATCAAAAACACTTTTTAAATTTACAAAGCACATGTATGCTGGTTTTCCATATTCAATAGACTTCTCTATTATTTGTCTGATAATAAAAATTGCGTCTATCGTGCTGCGGTTCTTCTGGAAGCCTTGTTGTTCATAAGCCATGTTCGCTTTTTCCTCGATTTTAACTTTTATCGACCATCCAAATTTAATGTGTGTGCGCCTAAAAGTATCATATAAAAAATAATAATTATATAATAATATAAATAAATTAATAATAAAAATAAAAATAAATTAATAAATATGTTAATCAATTCGTTTGAGGTTCATCCAAACTACTGTTTTTTTAGTTTCTTTGGATCAGTAATAATATTTAGTTATTAATTAATTATTCTGGATTTCAGGTGTACTATCTGGATGAGCACGATGTTACTGGCTACAGAGTGCTCAAGAACGACCAAATGATCTTCCAATGCACTAACACCATCCACTCCACAGAGAGAAAACTCAGAGGCAACACATGTTTCACAGCGGGTGTGGAACACTTTTCAGCTAACGATAAACTCTCCATTGAGGATATAACCGAAGGAATGCTTTCAAAATTCGAAACTGGCAAATCGTTCTTTGGAGTCATCAAGTTGGGGGATGCGAGAATTTAATTATTCATTAAGTGTTATAATCTAATGATTAATTTTGTTATTTTGTTCATGTTTTGTGATTACTAATGGTTGTTTCTGTCTAAAGTTCTTGGTTAGAATGAATCAAGTTTTACTTAATGGTTCTGGCATTACAGGCCATTTTTATTTTTATTAGTTTCTTAGACTTTGTTTTTTTCTTATATATCATAATATACAGTGGTTTTTGAATCGCTCAGAGACCTTGTTCCCTCTGGCTTGTATTGCTTTAACTTTTACTTGACTGTTAAAAAAAGTATTGTTATCGTAACAATATTTTCTCTTAGTTACGATGTTAATTTTTTTCATAAAAGAAATCAACTTATCATCTGATTATTAACATAAAGTATTTAAAGCTCTTTTGATCTTGAATTTTTTAATTTAGTTTTTAATTAGTACTATATTCTTTCATGCCTGTTCTGTTACATTAATCGCACCATTTCCTCGATTTTTCAAATTTTTACAGCAAGTTGTACCAAAATGTTCAGTTCAATCAATCCTCAGATCATCTAACCACATTACCAGTGCCATAAGAACTATTTACAAGCTTGTAAATGAGACCGTGCCATATAATTTAAATTTTTACGTAATAAAAATAATTTTTTGCATCATTTTGATGCCAGTTTAGCAATAACAGTCTAGCTTATTGTTTATTTTATTTAATAATACCAATGACTAGTTTTATTCCAGGCCAGAGCATGTACCTTAATTTATAATCCTATAATAAGTGCCATATTTATCAGAGCTATATTTTCATATTTTATAATGTCCTATCGTTGATTATATTTTTAATCTTGAAAGGAAAAATACGTTTATATTTTTGTAGTCTAGTAATATATTATAACTAAACATATAGTGTTCTTATTCGATATTTTTCGATCCTTTATATACCACACAAGCCTAAAGTATATTGATGGAATTATACTGGATCAAACGGATACCAGAGAAACAACCCCCCCCCCCTTCAGTAGCTGAAATGCAAGAAGCAGTTACCAGACTGAAAAACAAGCCGCCTGGATTAGACAACATTAGCGCAGAATTAATAAAGGAAAGCGGACAGTCCCTATTGAATGCGATACACGAACTAATAGTGCACATATGGAATAATAAATAACTGCCACAAGACTGGAATACCGGAGTAATTATCCCACTACATAAAAAGGGAGATCAACTTCAATGAAAAACTACTGGGCAATAACGCTACTAACTATGGCATATAAAATACTGTCAAATATTCTGTATGACCGATTGAGACCATATGCGGAACAAATAGTTGGGGGCTATCAATGTGGTTTCTGGAGGCAGAAGTCCATAATAGATCAAATCTTCGTCTTGAAGCAAATCTTGGAAAAGACTAGTGAATTTAATGTAGACATACATCATCTTTTCATTGATTTTGAGAGTGCCTATGATAGCATCTATCGAGAATTTCTGATCCATGCACTGAAAGAGTTTAATATTCCAACTGAACTCATTTATATGGTAAAAGACACATGATAGAAGCATTTAATGCGATAGAAAGAGCGACACAAAACAGTGGCCTAAACATTAACGAAATAAAAACCAAATACATGAAGGCCAGCAAATTGACAGGCCAAAGAAACCTACAGAATCTGGCAATAGGTGAAAAATTTTACATATCTAGGTTCACTAGTTACCGCAGATAACAATGTCAGTGAAGAAGTTAAGAGAAGAATTATTTTTCTTTAAGTGCCATCTTTCAATCGGAGGTTAGATATCATCATCACTATCTTTACTTTATCTACTGCTGCTCTAAAGAGTTCTATAGAACTGCATTTAAACCAGTCCCTTAAATTCTTCAACCATGACACTCTCCTTATTCCTATACTCCTTCCCCCTCTTATCTTTCCCTGTATTATCAGCCTTAGCAATTCATATCGCTGTCTTCTCATTAGATATTGTAACTTTCTTATTTTATTGTGTTTATTATTTCGCATTCTTTGCACATTTTTCGAAATACTTCCATGTTAGTTTTCTTCTGTGTCCATGCTATTCTAAGCATCGTTCTGTAACACCACATTTCAAAGGACTCTAACTTATTTATGTGTTCTTGCTTCAATGCCCAGCTTTCAAGTCCATGTTGCAATATCGAAAACACGTGGCAGTAATTGGAGTTGTTCAGCAGAGCTTGCCATGATCACGGTGTCATCTGCATATCTTATGTTGTTAATAGATCTTCCGTTAATTATTATTCCTTCACTTTGAGATAGTAATGCTTCTTCAAAAATGGCTTCACTATATACATTAAATAGTAATGGGGACATAATATAATGCATCCCTGCCTAACTCCTCTCCTGATTTCAATTTCTGGACTGGATTCGTTATCTATTACAATTTGTGCTCTTTGATTCCAGTACAGGTTTATTATTATTCGTAAGTCGCTATGGTCTATGTTTTTTGTCTTTAGTATTTGGACTAATTTTTCATGTCTTACTTTGTCACATGCTTTTTCAAAATTAACGTAACAAACATGCACATCAACATTCATATCCATGCACCTTTGAGCTAACACATTAAAAGCAAATAACGCTTCTCTGGTTCCTAGTCCGTTTCTGAACCCAAACTGATCTATTCCTCCTTCCAGTTTTTTATTTATACGACCATGTATTATTTTCAGGAATAATTTGAGAATGTGACTTATTAGTGATATTGTTCTGTATTCACTGCAATATTTAGCGTTTGTATTTTTAGGGATAGCACATAAGGTGGAAAGTAACCATTGTTTCGGTATGTGTCCTGATTTGTATACTGAGTTAAATAAGTCTACTATAATGTCTAATGTTTCATCATTCATGCATTTTAAGATTTCTATAGGGATTTGGTCTGGACCTAATACTTTACCATTTTTGCTGTTTTTTAATGCCATTTTAATTTCCTCTTTCAATATATCCTCTTCTAATTCTATCTCCATCTGTTCTGTTCTATTGTCTTTGAACAGTTCATTGATGTATTCTGTCAATCTCTTTAATTTGTCGTTAATATTCAACACAAGTTTTCCATTTACATCTTTCAGTATTCCCGGTTTTCCTGTTCTATTTTTGTGAGTTAATTCTTTAATTTTTTTATGTATGTTAAAACTATCGTGCCTTTTTTGGTATTCTTCTAGAAGAGAAGAATACATATCGCTAATAAAACATATAATTGACTAATTAAACATCTAAGATCTAACAACATCACAAGGAAAACCAATTGCAAAATATACAAAACCCTAATATAACCGGTCATTGTATATGGATCAGAGAATGGACACTATCGGAAAGCGATGAGAACCTATTAGGTACGTTTGAACGAAAAATGACATATGGAGCAGAAGATATAATTTTGAACTATTCACAGCATACAATGAATCCGAGGTCATAACATCCACAAAGATCGGACGTCTGCGCTGGATGGACCATGTAGAACGAATATTGGAGACTGAAACACCAAAACATATAATGAGGCAAACACCAGTAGGGAGAAGGTCAAAGGGAAGACAAAAACTTAGATACATTGAACAAGTAGAACAAGATCTGAAAACACTTAAGATTACCAACTGGAAAAACAAAGCAAGGAACAGAACAAAATGGCAGAAAATCCTAGAACAAGCCAGGACCCAGAAAGGGTTCTCGAATTTGAAGCGCAATGAATGTCTTGGCTACTCAATCTCAGGGAATGGTCCAACTGTTCGTGTAAGCAGTTTGTCAGAACAGCAGTAAACAAGATGCACATAATAATAATAATCACATGACGGTATCTGAAGAAGACGAAAATAATATTAGTGTTGGGATCCAAGTGTATTGTTACCTGTTCTATTTTTTATATGAACCTCGCTTTACTTTTTATACAAATTGAATATGATATATTTTTATTTATATTAGCAGAAAGCAGTATTCAATTAAAAATAAGAATCCTGCAATACGATGTTATTCTCTGTACATGCCGCCCACTTACATTAAAGCGTAATTAGGAATTTTTTATATAGATGATATCGATCAGGGAAAAACGGCATGCGCAATGATATAAACAATCCGGTCTTTCTGGGTAATACTTCGTCAGTTGAAATCCCCTGTGCCATTCGACTATAGTAAGCAAAGTTGATAAGTTACATGAATTACTAACTGTGAGTATATCTTATAATATTATTTTATTTATTATCTTATAGTTGTACTTTGGTAATTATCATCGCTTCAAAAATATATCAGCTCATTTTTATAACGACGGCCATTCCTACCTTCTTCCATTATTTTGTTACTTCTCCTAATAGGTAAATATGTGAAAATCTATGCCGAATTTGCTCTTATTTAAATATGTATGTACAAAAACGGTAAATTATGATGTAAAATCACGGTTTTGTGGTGTATTTGTACATGCAATATAATTCAACAGGTTTGAGTAGGTGGTTTATTGATTTTGAGTGCCTTCAGAGTTAGAGTGATTATGACTGGAATCACGTATTTCAGGACGATATGATTGATGTTCCTCGAATATCCTTTCAATAAAAAATTTAATTATAAAACTACTCAGGGCTATACAGGGTCTAAAATTTCAAAAAGATTATCCTTATGTTTTAAATAGCTTTTTCATGTATCTTGGTATTTTTAAATATCTCTTTTTTACGTTTCTACTTAAAATAGAAACATGTTTTGAAAAGACAACTTTAAAATAAACAAGCTATTTGTTTTGTTACTCTGGAAACAAAACAAACAAATTATATCTTATGCTTTACTCTTAAATATCTATCTATTTAAACATATGTCTATTATATAGAAATCTTGATGTTTTATATATGAAAATAAAAGATTGTTGAGGTGCGTTTCTGAGACGAACTTATCTAAGGATAATTTCATTTGTTTATTCGAAATAAACTAACTTCATCGGGACAGCAATAATATCATGTGGACATATATTTTATATAACTCTTTATAGTTTATATTAATAAAAATAAAAGTAATACTTAGCTAGTCATTTCATTGTAAATTAAGAAAAACTAGAAAAAAACTCATACTACTGTCCGTACATAGTAAGTATTTTATTTGGTATATAGTTCGCTTGCAATATTGTATTTTATTTCATACTTCATATTAAAATTGTTTCTTTTTATTATATAAGGTGAACTCATCGAAGTGTGAACTAGTTTTCAGTTAGATGATTTTTATGACATATTTTGCATGATTTAGGAGATGTTTTAAGTCATAATATTTTTTCCTAGAATTACGGCTTTTACTATACTTAAATATATACTTAACTTTCGGTACGTTTGTAAAATCAAATGTGGAAATTTTGTTAATTTTTTTTTAATATCCATGGTTCACACTTTCCTGTCAATTTGGGGTAATTGTGACAATGGACTTTAGCTTGCAACAACGTGTGTTATTTTTAGGGCAACTGTAAATAATTTAAAAGTGCAAGAAAAAACGAATTTTTTAGTGTTTAAACAATCTTAATTTATTTATTTTTAAGCAAATTATAAACTTTTTAAGATTTACAGGTTCAACACGACAAAATAATCCCTTCTGTCTTTAGCGGGTTCTGGTAAAGATTTTACGATATCGTCTTCAACTATCATATCCGTCTCTTCTATATCAGGCGAAAAAAAAGGTATTACTAATCTTTTTATATCTTAAAAAGCAAATTTTCCATTCATTTTCAATCTTGTTATCAATTATTCCAATAAAATGTTTAATATGTTTTTAGATGTGTACTCTACAACAACTCAAATACACAGCGCGATTTGGGTCTTTCCCAACTCTCCAACTGTTGGCACTTGTTTCTCAATTATTTGCTCGTTTTTATCAAATATTTCATAATTTAAATCATCTTCAGAGTCAACACATTCTACCAAATCTTCTTCCAATTCTGACCTACTAAAAGTTTCTTCTCATTTCTTAATCCTCTTCGGTTTTTGAATTTTTCTTTCTGAGTTCTTCTTCTTTTGTTTGATTTTCTATTTCTTTTATATTCTTCAATCTATGTATTTTCTTCTGTAAGTTTATTCAGAACTTCTTCGGAAGTAACAACTTCTGTCCCTGCAGTTACTTTTTTCTTTTTGAGCCCGAAGGACTTTGCTTATTTTTCTGTTTAACAGTGTTTAATAGCAGCTCCTCAAAACTTATTTTTGAAGAACTACTATTTGGAGTTGTATCAAAAATATTGGTTTTGTGGTTTTCCACAATCTGGTCTTTATTTACCGACTGATCAATATTGCCGGCAGTAATATCATCCATATTAGTATTTGCGGTTTCAGCTATAACTTTTGTTTGGTCTTCTAAACTCTTTTGTTCTTACCATCTTTTTAGGCTTTCAGAGTGGTATTTTTCCTCTGGTATGATATGACGCTTAAATGGATATATACCTGCTTTTCTAAACCCGTTTTGATAATTTCTACGCTCTAAGTTTTTCCATGTAGTGCCTATCGTCAGAAAAAACTCTTTTTTTTTTTGTAATTTTAAGGTCAGTATTATTCTCTGTCAGGTTACGAGTTGTTGGTCCCAAGCATCTTTTAAATACTTAAATACGGCTAAATCCAAAGGTTGTAGAAGGTGGCTGGTAAGAGAAGGAAGTTTGATGATTGTGATATCATTCTGTCGTGCTAATTTAACTAGTTCACCACTATGACCGTCATATATCAACAATACCGGCCTATTTTCTCCTAATGCGGGAATAAACGTTTTTTAAATAATTAAAAAATACGTCACTCTCCATCCATCCATTGGGACTGGCTGCATAAGCAGTTCTCGGAAAAGAGTTCTTGTTATCTAGTAGCCAGGAATCTCAAATATTTTTTTCCTTGAATAGTATATATATATTCCTATGCGGACTCTGTTAACTGCCGCTCTAAAAAGTTCTGCACTACTGCATTCAAACCATTCCCTTAAGTTCTTAAGCCAGGATATTCTTCGTCTTCCCACATTTCGCTTTCCTCGGATTTTGCCTTGCATAATAAGTTGTAATAATGCGTATTTTTGCCCTCTCCTCACGTGTCCTAAGTACTCAAGTTTTCGTCTTTTGTTAGTTAATATTATTTCCGACTCATTTCCTATCCTTCTAGTTGCTTCCACGTTTGATATTCTTTGAATCCATGATATTTGCAGGATTCTTCTGTAACACTAAAATTCAAAGACGGCCAACGTATTCAGATGGACTTGTTTTAGTGTCCACGCTTCTAAGCCATAAAGAAGAGTAGAGAACACGTAACACCGAAGCATTATCAGGCGTAGTTCTAACCTTATATCTCGACAACAAAGAAACTTTTTAAGTTTAATGAATGATGCACGTGCTATTTCAATACGTGTCTTAATTTCTTTGGTTTGATCTACATCTGATGTTCTCCATATTCCTAAGTATTTATAGTTATTAACACTCTCAATTGCAGTATCTTTAATAGTCAATTGGATATTTACATGTGCGGATTTAGTCACGATCATGCATTTGGTTTTCTTTAAATTTATCTTCAGTCCGTAGTCATGACAGCGTTCATTAAGGCGTTGCATTACGTTTTGTAAATCATTGTTGTTATCCGTCATTATTACTGTATCGTCTGCAAAACGTAAGTTATTCAAAACTTCTCTATTGATAAATATACCTTCTATTGAGTCTAAGAGCGCTTCTTGAAATACCGCTTCACTGTAGACATTGAAGAGTTGTGGGGACAACACGCAACCCTGGCGGAATCCTCTCTGTATTTTGATATTTTGGATGTACTGGCTGTCAACTCTTACCTTGGCAGTTTGATTCCAATATAAATTAGATATAATTTTCATATCGCGACTGTCAATATTTTTGCTTTTTAATATATCTACAAGCTTTTTATGTTAAACCTTATCAAATGCCTTTTCAAAGTCTACAAAACATAAGTACATGTCTTGATTCATATCCACGCATCTCTGAGCCAGCACATTCAAGCCGAACAAAGCATCTCTTGTACTCCTACAATTTCTAAAGCCAAATTGTGTGTCACTAATTCTGCTGTAATTATTTTTAAAAATGTTTTAAGTATGTGACTCATTAAAGCTATTGTTCTGTGATATCAGCAAGTTGTTGCAGTTGGCTTTTTGGGAATTGCTACAAAGGTCGATTGCAGCCATTGTCTGGGGATTTTGGCAGTCTGATATATTAGATTAAAGAGTTCAATCATTACATCAATAACATCTTCATCGATGAGTTTTAATAATTCGATGGGCACATCATCTGGTCCAGTAGCTTTACCTTTTTTTGTGTTTTTGATGGCATAGATGACTTCTTCTCTTAATATTAGTGGTCCGGTATCCTCGGTGATTTCTAATGACAGTTCTTCTCTTTCATCATTAAATAGTTGTTGGATGTAATTGGTCCAGTGACATAATATCTCCTTTATATCAGTAATAATATCCCCTTTATCATTTTTAAAGATATTCGTTGATCACAACTGCAATAATTAATGACTCATTTTGTAACACTTTAGACCGGTCTTTATTTATTTCTATCGCTCGACATATGTCAACTGCTTTCATTACCGTTAACTCTGATTCTCTGAGCAGTTTTTCTTGTGTTGCTTTGTTGTGTATGCCCATTACTATTCGACATCTGATCACCTGGTCTTGTTTGCTATACTCTGTTGTTTTAATGGCTTTCCGTAGTTCTATCACAAACGAGTCAAATGGTTGCCCTTCTTGCTGGCTAATAATATTAAACTTAAATCTTTCAAAAATGACATTTTTCTTTGGTGAACAATACACTTCAAACTTCTTTTTTTAGGCAAGTTACTGTTCTGTCTTTATTTTCGTCAAATGTGAAGGTGTTGTACAGCTCTAATGCGTCGTCACAAACCAGACTTAAAAAAACTGCCAGCTTTTTACTTTCTGGTTTGGAGATTAGGTCCGTAGCTATCATAAATAGATCAAACTTTTGGCTAAATTTGCGCCAGTTTTCAGATAAATTCCCATGTAATACTAGAGATTCAGGTGGCTTAAACGTGGATTCCATGATAATACCAAAAAATGATACTCACGTGTTACAAGGTTACAGTTGAGTACCTATCCAAACAAGAAATGGTTTCACCACGCAAAGATTATCACACCTGGCACCATGTATAAGCCTGATGGAAGGTGTAATAAATAAAACAAATAGTTTATTGAGTAATTGTAGAAGCAACAAGTATATTAACTTCACATGCCAGTAACCTAACGTAACAACTTTGTCTAATTTAGTAATCTGTTTCTGTCACCTCCCGTCATGTCATCTTGTTACCAACATGAATAATATGATTGTCACTTAACTGGGTATCATACAATAAAGGCACTTTTGAGCTTGTTTCGCTGTAAGTAAGTAGGCAGTTTTGGAATTTTTGTTGTTCAATTTCCTTTCTTCCTAGTTTCCGAGACTGCGCACATACAGATTTTGTGGCTGATCATATGATCTATTTTTGCCCAAGGTTTGTCCCTCCTTTTTATCCCTATACTATTAAACTACTCTAACTGATAACAGCACAGGATAAGATATGTTTTCTTTCATTTCAGCTAATTTGAAGTTAATTCAAAAATTGAGGGTTCTTATCCTCTTTCTCATTTCCTATATTTTTGTTTAAGGTTTTCCGTTAAACTATGCGGGCTGCGCTTTGGATACTTGTGGGAATTTACCTTTGCAATGCAGCGTCTGGTCAAGGAGATTCGCTCCGCAGCGCATTGAATGCAATTAATAGACGAGAGAAGGACTTAGATCGTGACTATGACGAAGGCGAATTCGGTTACCCTATAGAACATCCCGAGGATGTTGTGTTTCTCAACCCTGACGGATTTGTTAGAGGTAAACTTTAATATATGTTTTACAGTTATCGCGTTATTTTTTCTAGAAATACATCAATCACTATTATTTCAGAGGAAGACTATGAAAAACCACTCTCTAGTTCTCTCGACAACAGATACGATGGCGGTCTAAACAAAAGAATTTCTTCGGCCTTCCGTGAGAGACTAGAAGAAGACAATCAGAAGCAACAACTGGAAGAAATGGCACGGTCCATCCTTTCTCAATTAGAAAATACAGGCAGGTACAATGTGGAAAACGAAGATTATGAAGAACTATTAAGAGAATATTTTGATAAATACAGAAGACCCTATGAAATAAATAAAATAAATTCGAATCAAATAGATAAAAGATTTATGTACCCCAAGTTTGGATTAGATAGTGTTGGGTTAAAGAAAAGAACAAATGAACTGTATGAAGACGGTTATCCTCAAAAAGACGACTTTTATGATGGACAAGACCTGGGTGACTATGGTTTCTTCAACAAAAAACGCTTTTACCAAAGTAATAAACTTAAAAGAATCCGGCAAATGTACAGCAATCCTTATTCACCAGCCAAAAGGTTTCCGGTAACAAAAAGAAGCAGTGATTATAAAGACTTCGACTACAAACCGTCTATTCCCAAAAAACAAACCGATCCCAAGGTAGAAAAGGAACTTAGTCATATTTTTGGGACTCCAAAAGTAGAAGAAAAACCTGCAACCACAAAGAAACCGGTTTCCACGAAACCAACTACTCCTAAAAAGGAGAGTGCTGTAACAAAACCTCCTAAAGAGGAGAAACCTAATAAAAAGGTCGCTTTAGTAAATAAGGAAGAGTTCACTCCAGTTTCCCTGCCAACGGAAAAACCTTTACAGATAAAAAAGAAGTCGGTAGATTGGTCCGAGTATTTCGGTCTTGATAGGCGCAAGAAATCTTCTGAACCAGATGATTTGGATAAGGAGTGGTTGATTGAACGATATCACAAGTCGATAAAAATGTCCAATAAAAAGAGAAATGCTGAACTGCCTCTCTCATCCTTTCGTAACCACGACGAACATAGAAAAAAAGCGACCTCAACTGACGAAAAATCCCTATCAGAAGAACAGAAAATAAACGACATGGATAGTAAACTACAAGTTATGGAAGATAAGATTGTGGATGATGCTTTGAAGTATACAGGATCTCGTGAAGGCGAATCCGATCCTAAAGAAGTCCAAGAAATTAAGGACAAAGTGATATCTAAACTTGCCGCTGCCTACAGTTTGGAAAAAATGAGAACTGCGTTAGGAGAATACAGAGTAGCCGTAGCTAAAGAGAGAGAAAGACTGAGGAATAGACGCCCTACGACTGAAGATGATGACATGTTTTTAGAAGAAAAGAGATCTGTACCGAGGAAGCAAGTCTCTGATAAAGAAATTGAGAAAATGACCAAAGGAGATAACGATATTAAATGCGCTGAAGGAGACGACGACTGCCATGAACAAAATTATAAAACCCCAGTAGACATTATCGAAAGCCACTACGGAACAGGTAAGCTAAATTATGGAAAAGGGTGGTTTGTGCTTTATTGATTATTTTTTCCCAGAATTGTGCCCTGCGATTGTCAGAAGTTGCAACGATTATGCTGTTGGAATGTATGGAGAACTCTTCAAGCCAGCTTGTCATTTGTACCAGATGTGTTTACTATGCGTAAGTGAAATAAAATATTCTATTATAGTAGATTTATATCAGTGTTAAACTATAGCATAAATAATTTATATTTTTCTCATAGAAAAATCCTTCAATAGGTTGTGTTTGAATATTTCTACACTGTATTTGGAAATGTATGATAGCACAATTTAGCACTATGACAGAAAAAGCGTGCACAGTTCTATTTTACGATGCTGTTTGATTTAAGTAGAGGTTCTTAATAAATCTTAAGTCATGCTGGTCTATCATTCTACATTGTTTTAACACAGTTGAACGCTTTGTAGTAATTAATGAAGCATCGGAAAGTGTCTTTGCTCTGGATTTAGCATTTTTAAACCAATAAAGTCGAACTGAAGAGTTACTTCACGTATCCTGATGCCTTGCCTGAATCTAAACCGAGTAGAATCAATGTCTATTTCATATCTGTTATAAATTTTTGTATCTACTATCGTCAAGAACAGAGGATTTGACTTAATAAACTGATCATTCGGAACTGGTCAAAACTGTTTGCATTAGGATTCTTCGGAATAGGCTTAAAGGTAAACTGGAGCCAGTTCTGCGGTATTTCACACGTCTCATAGATCTTGTTAACTATTTCTACCATTACATCCATCTTCTTCTTTAAGTGTCGTCTCCCAATTGGAAGTTGGATATCATCATCACTATCTTTACTTTATCTACTGCTGCTCTAAAGAGTTCTATAGAACTGCATTTAAACCAGTCCCTTAAATTCTTCAACCATGACACTCTCCTTCTTCCTATACTTCTTTCTCCTCTTATCTTTCACTGTGTTATCAGCCTTAGCAGTTCATATCGCTGTCCCCTCATTATGTGTCCCAGATATTGTAACTGTCTTATTTTTATTGCGTTTATTATTTCGCATTCTTTGCCCATTTCTCGCAATACTTCCGTGTTAGTTTTTTTCTGTGTCCATGCTATTCAAAGCATCCTCCTGTAACACCACATTTCAAAGGAGTGTAACTTATTTATGTGTTTTTGCTTCAATGTCCAGCTTTCAAGTCCATATTGCAGTATCGAAAACACGTGGCATCTCAGTGCTCTCACTTTCAGTTCTAATCTAAAATCTTTGTTGCAGAGAATTGTTTTCATTTTGACAAACGCATTTCTTGCTATTTCTATCCTAGCTCTTATTTCGGTTGTTTGATCATCATTGTCTGAAATCCAGGTTCCTAGATATTTGTATTTATCAACCCTTTCTATCAGTACATTTCCCAAATGTATGTTTGTTTTCTTTGTTATTATCATGTATTTGGTCTTTTTTATATTCATTTTTAGTCCATATTTTTCACAGAAACTGTTTTTTTTTGTTTAGCAGTAATTGAAGTTGTTCAGCAGAGCTTGCCATAATCACGGTGTCATCTGTATATCTTATGTTGTTAATAGATCTTCTGTTGATTATTATTCCTTCACTTTGAGATAGTAATGCTTCTTCAAAAATGGCTTCACTATATACATATAATAGTAATGGGGACATAATACATCTCTGCCTAACTCCTCTCCTGATTTCAATTTCTAAACTGGTTTCGTTATCTATTACGATTTGTGCTCTTTGATTCCAGTAGAGGTTTGTTATTATTCGTAAGTCCCTATGGTCTATGTTGTTTGTCTTTAGAATTTGGACTAATTTTTTATGTCTTACATTGCTTCCTTTTATATTTCGTTGGTATTAGAATTTTTTTTTTGACTTTTATCTATTTCTATCTTTATTAATAACCCTTTTTTCTCCTTCTCAGTATTTTGCAGAATTTGTTCTTTAACATTCATTAATCCGTTGTTGATTTCATCTGCCAGGCGTTGCCTTATGAGTGGGTTCCTTAATTTACTTGTATCGATCTTTGCATTCGTTCTTCGTTTTATTATTTTCATTTTGAGCCTAATTTTGGTCACTACTGGCTTGTGATTTGATCCTATGAACCTATGAAACGTCATTACATCCATATTTTCGTCATTTAGCAGTTTTATTACTTCTATGTACATTTCATCTGGCTTTTCTGCCTTACTTTGTTTTATTGACGATCGGTCGATTAGCTATGCTTAGGAGATCAGATCTTCTGCCTTTAGGATTATTGGACACTATGTCTCATTTGCTTTTCCACCGTTAGTTGTTCTTCATTGCTGGTAAGGAAATGCAAAAATTATTTCCCCTGAGACTAGGGATGTGGGAGAGAATAAAGGCTCGCGTACGCAAGATCGCATCTCTGAAGTAGGCATATAATAACGAATTCCACCGCAAATATCCTTTTTTGATGCCAAAAACATTGATTTTGAAATTAGAGGGTACACGCTTGGGACCATTTTTTATTCTTTAATACTCAAAACTAAAAAGAATAAAATCATTATTTTAAAAGTGTAAAAAGGTCTTCATTTTTGTTTTTTAAAAAGGTTTCTAGGTGCTTTTGAATAGATTCTACAGTGATTTTAAATTGTGACAGTTTTATACTCCAATATCACTATTATTTCGCTCATTCAATTTTTGAAATTTTGTAAAAAGACATAATTACCCTCGTTCCAGGTTAGGTCATTATTTTTTCTTCCGGTATGAGTACTAAATAATAAAAAAATTGATCCCAAAAGTGTGCTTAAATTTCAAAATCAATTAAAAATTATATTGCTACACGAGAACGAAATATTCAAGAAATACGCTCTAAATAGTGGACTGTGATGGGGCCGTAAAAGAATAAAAATTGTAGTGTAAATAAAATCCCCAAAAACCATAAATGACAGCGGCTGAGGTTTGTAAACTTTGGAAAAAACAGAACGAATGTTCACAACTACAAAAATAATAATTACCTGTGTCTGGTAATTACCTATAGAGAATTCCGCATTCCACAATATTCAATACTTTTCTTTTTTACCTAGTGTACATTTTAAAAACTGGTTAATTAGTGACTGATCACAAAAAAAACATGTCTAGCCTCTAAATATTCATTAAACGACATATTGCAATATTGCAAACGATATATTAAACGATATCATTGAAACGAATCAAATACTTCGGTATATTTATTTACTGATGATAACGAATAGAAATCACTGTAAGTAGTCTCAGAAAATAATTGGTGAGAAAAGAGCTAACCCAAGTCAATATACTAGTTCATTTAAAATTGAAAAGTGTATCAGGTAATTTTTCTTTACGAGTTCTTAATGGCAGTGAAATTTATACAAACACATTTTATCTAGCTAGGTCTCTATACGTTCTATATTACCAGATTTAGCCACACGGCTCACACTACCTCTAAGGAGAACATTCACTCATCCCATATACCTAGGGCATCAAAAGGATTGAGCTCTGGTGGGACTCTTTCCGTATTATAGACCCTAGGTGATTTGATCTGCTGGAGTATCTCCCAAAAATGTTCGTACACATCTGGACGTCGCGGGGAGTACATCTTTCTGCATGCTCTTATAGAGATGTTCATTTAGACCCAGTTGTTATAGTATCTAGGAGGTTTTTGAGAATAACACCAGTAGTAGATAGAATAATAGGTACTGTCTGGGTACATTCCATTCTCCATTGTCTCCTAATTTGTATTTCCAGATCTCTGTACTTGTTGCACTGTCTTCTTCAGCTTTAGTCTGATGTTAACTACCAGTGGGTTATGGTCCGACCCGATATCAGCAACAGGGTATATTTTGACTAATGTTAATGAGTTTCTGAATCTTTTATTCACCATAATGTAATCAATTTGGTTTCTGATGATGTGATCTGGGGTGTCTTGAGGTGATCTCCTCGTATATAATCTCCTAGCTGGCAGTCCAAAGGGTCCTACGGTTTCTCCACATCTATCCTTTCCCACTTTGGCATTTAACTCTCCTATAAGCATTTTTATTTCGTTTTTGTGAAGTTTTTTTAGAACACTCATCAGTTCCGGATAGAAAGTTTCGATCTCTTCGTCTGAATTGTCTTCAGTAGGTGCATTGTTTGTTGATCTGCCTGGCATAAAACCAAATTGATTTTTGGATATTTGGTTTCTTGGCTTACTCGTCTCTCAATTACTCTCTCCCATATTTTCATTATATAAGTAATTTTATTGCCTTGTAGTTCTAGATGTACGAGTATGTCTTGCATTCGGAATCAAGGTAACATTTTTTTCAAATTATTAAAATCATTATTCTTCTTTTTTTCCTCACCAAACGATTTTTTAACTAACATATTTTTTAAACACACGATTAGTTTGAGTGAACATTTTATATCCACAAAACTGCCCGAGTCAAATCTCAGTGATTTATTTTGTGTTTCATGATTTTTAGTGTACCAAACTGTTGTAGTAGAATGTGAAGAAAATCATAAATCGAAAACTTAAGCTGGCCCCAAAACTTGTAACTTTTTGTTTCTTTGGTTTTGTTTTTTTTTCTTGACCCGTTTGATCCAAAAGATTTCCGTTATCACTGAAGGTGGAGCTTATTGTATTTGCTGCCCACTGTTGAACTATTTGTACCCTGTTGAAGATTGTAAAAATTCATTTTGTTTTGTGAAATTCAAATATCGATAGTTTTTGTGTAATTATTAGTTTAAAAATAATTATTTTTATCTCCTACATGAAACGATCGCAAACATGAATACACGTGACTCAAATACACGTGCAAGCTAATTCATTAAAATTATTTTTATCTTTTTACTGTCATTGTCAGAAACTCAACGTCTCCCTTCAGATTCAGATTTTCTCCATTGATCTTTGTTAAAAACACGTTTAATTAATTACGTAATTATCGTGACAATGACAGTGTTTGGATTCAGTTATCGAATCAAAACGAACTTCACACATGTAAGGATTGTCTCAAAATTAACTCACACACACTGTTTGAATTTGATGCTACTTAGGCAGAGGGATGGATGTATTTATCATCGATTTATGGGGTTAAACAACTTCTCTCAACAGCAACTGATGTAACGAAGACATTATGTTTATATTGTGGTAAGCAACTTTTTCAAGGTTTTTTCTTCCTCAAAAGCGTTTTCATTAGAGCGGGTGTTTCGG